CCGCGTTTAGTTAGGGCACTCAGGTGGGGTTTCTGCAGCCTCCACCACCCGCTATTTCCCCGCCAGGCCTGGGTCTGTCTTACCATTCATCCTCTTTTTTTTTTTTTTTAATAATTTACTTTTAAAATTTAAAAAAAAATTTTTATTTCTTAATTTTTTTTTAGTTCATTCATCCTCTTAGCAATTGCCTCCTTCACTTCTTTACACTTCTGGTCTTGCTCCTATAAGCATCGGAGTTGAAAAACTCTAAACTAAACTGATTTCTAAAAGCATTTTGTAGTCACTCACTTAAATGTGTGAAGTCCCTAATCTATGTCATTCATCACTCATTCATTTATTTAAAAAAAAAAATTAAGGGAGAGTTCCCTGGTTGCCTAGTGGTTAGGATTCCAGGCTTTCACTGCAGTGGCCTGGGTTCAATCCCTGGTCGGGGAACTGAGATCCCACAGGCTGCACAAAGTGATAAAAAAAAAAAAAAAAAAAAATGTAGTGAACACCTACCACCTGCCAGGCACTGAGAATACCACAGTGAGACTAACCAGTAGGGTTCCTGCTCTCAGAGGGTTACAATCTGGTATTAGAAACAGGCAATGCACAAGTGAATTAACAGTCAAAGAAGATAACATCAGCTCACATGAAGGGCTGTGATGCCAATAAAGCAGAGTGTGTGGGGAGGGCTGGGGCCACAGTGGATAGGCTGGTCAGGGATGGCCTGTCTGCCAAGGCGACTTTTGAGCTGAGTGATGATGACAAGGCAGAGGGAACAGCAAGTGCAAAAGCCCTGAGGCTGGAATGAACTTGGCTTGTCTGAGTAACACCGGAGAGTCCTATACTTGCCAACAGCTTCAGGAGCTCCCCTAACTCTCTGCCGTGGCCACTCGGGCCCCTGCTGCCTCTGCCTCCCTACTGGTGCCCTAGTTCTCCCACCCTCTCCTTCTGTGCCCATGTCCACCTGCAGGGGTGGGCAGAGATGCGGAGGCTACAGCCTGGGCTCAGAAGGGCGGGTGGGGATGTTGGCTGCAGGAATGACCAGGGAGACAGCTGGAGCGTGGGAAAGGGTGAGATAGGTGTACTTACGGTGGAGAGGAAGGGGAGGGGTCAGGGCAATGATCTTGGACCCTGAGCTGCACTTCCTCAAAGCCTCAGGGGGCCGGGGCTGTGTAGGACTGTCACTCTGGACGGGTACTGACCCTACAAGTCCCCTCACTTCAGGACATCTTTAACTCTTCCTGTTTTAGTCACCTAAGTTTTCTGTCTCACCCGTAGGCATTTGTCTCTGAGACCCCCAAGCTGGAAGGGGGAGGAGTGATCTCTAAGGCCAGATGGCTTTTTTTTTTAATCAATTTATTTATCTATTTATTTATTTTTGGCTGCTTTGGGTCTTCGTGCTGTGTGCGGGCTTTCTCTAGCTGTGGCGAGCGGGGGCTACTCTTCATTGTGGTGTGTGGGCCTCTCATTGTGGTGGCTTCCCTTGTTGTGGAGCATGGGCTATATGCGCGCAGGCTTCGGTAGTTGTGGCACGTGGGATCAGTGGTTGTGGCGCACAGGCTTAGCTGCTCCGCGGCATGTGGGATCTTCCCAGACCAGGGCTCGAACCCGTGTCCCCTGCATTGGCAGGCGGATTCTTAACTACTGCGCCACCAGGGAAGCCCCAGATGCCTTTTTTCTCCTCTGTGCCCCACTGGGCTATACCGAGGAGCCAGCTTGGAGGGCAGGGTGCAGGGAGAAGGAAGCTGTGAGCCCTCAGGGCGGCCGCCTCCTTGCAGGTGGCTGCAGGTAGGAGGTGAGCTGGCTGCTGGATGCTGCTGAGGCTGCACCCTGGGGCTCCAGACAAGGCCCCTGGGCCGGCACTCCAGATCACCTTTTCCTTTGCACTGATTATTAAAAGAAAAATAAGTGAAAAATCACTGAATGGCATCAATAAAGTTATAGATTGAGAATTTGCTTAGACTGTTTGGGGGTCAAGGACACCCTGTTTTTGTTCCCCATAACCCAGATTATCAGTGTTGATTCATGTCCAGACGTTTGCTTGTCACGCTGACACATTAAGTCAGCATGATCTTTGTGTTTTTTTTGTTTTTTTTTGTTTTTTTTTGCGGTATGTGGGCCTCTCACTGTTGTGGCTTCTCCCATTGTGGAGCACAGGCTCCGGACACGCAGGCTCAGCGGCCATGGCTCACCGGGCCAGCTGCTCTGCGGCACGTGGGATCCTCCCGGACCGGGGCACGAACCCATGTCCCCCGCATCGGCAGGCGGACTCTCAACCACTGCGCCACCAGGGAAGCCCCTCTTTGTGTTTTTATAAAACAAGGGAATGAAACCACAAATTCTGGGACAGTGGTTACACAACAGGAGGGCTTGGGAAGTAAGGAGGGCTTTGTCCACACCAAGTGGGCAGATAAGATGGGGAAGGACCCCATCAATCAGTAAGAGTCATGGCTCTTGGGTTCAGTGGTGGGCTCACAGATATTCATTATGTTAGTAAAAATAGCTAAAGAAATAAGTGCCCAACTAGCTAAACAAAATAAAGTGGGACATGCAATTCCCACTGATAACTATATGCCTTGACTCAAATGTTATTGTTAATTCAGTTCAACATACCTGAGGTCCAATTAAAAAAATAAACAGACCACCTCTTTTTTCTTTTTTTAAATTGTATTTTATGTTACAGTATAGTTGGTTTACAATGTTGTGTTAGTTTCAGGTGTATAGAAAAGTGATTCATATATATATATTATATATATATATAATATATATATATATCTCCATTCTTTTTCAAATTAGTTTCCTACATAGGTTATTACAAAATATTGATTAGAATTCCCTGTGCTATACAGTATGTCCTTAATGATTATCTATTTTATGTATAGTAGTATGTATTTGCCAATCCCAAACTCCTAATTTATCCTCCCCCGCCCACCTTTCCCCTTTGGTGACCATAAGTTTGTTTTCAACGTCTGTGAGTCTGTTTCTGTTTCCTAGATAAGTTCATTTACATCATTTTTAAAATTAGATTCCACATATGAGTGATATCATATGATATTTGTCTTTCTCTGTCTGACTAACTTCACTTAGTACGATAATCTCTAGGTCCATCCATGTTGCTGCAAATGGCATTATTTCATTCTTTTTTTATGGCTGAGTATCATTTTTCTTTTGAAAATACCTTTTGGTTGTGGTTTTTGGATTGTTTTTTGTTTTTTCGGTATGTGGGCCTCTCACTGTTGTGGCCTCTCCCGTCACGGAGCACAGGCTCCAGATGCGCAGGCTCAATGGCCATGGCTCACGGGCCCAGCTGCTCCGCGGCACGTGGGATCTTCCCGGACCGGGGCACGAACCTGTGTCCCCTGCATCGGCAGGCGGACTCTCAACCACTGTGCCACCAGGGAAGCCCCTTGGTTGTGTTTTTGTAAGATGCTGTATATTTTTTACTCATTGTAAAAAATCAGACAAGGCAAAAAGATGCAGAGAATAAAAATTGCTCAGCATTTACTACCTAAAGATAAAACCAATTGCCCAAAATATCTGTAAGTGTCTTTCTAGATCTCTTTCTGAGCATATCTCCAGGTGGAGACATGTGAATATAATTTGATCAGTGAGATCATACTTCCCACCCACCTTTTTTTGGTGCTAGAATTCATGCAGTTCAACTTTTGTGTTTCACAGACAGGGAGATGAGATGCAGAGAGAAGTGATCTGCCAATGGCCACATTTTGAAATATAGGACCCCAAACAGCATCTCTCACAGAATGGTGCATGGACAGACCTTTTTACTTTTAATACTTATAAAAGAAATTTAATGAGAAAAACTGTCCATCAATATTGTGATTCAACAGCCGTTATCACTTAAGATGAGACTAATGTAATTTATGCCATTAGTTAATGTAAAATAAAATGGAAAATAACTCATAGTGCAGGAAGATTACAAACATGAAAGAGTGGCCTGGTAGTCTGAGATCTGAAAAACCCTGATGTCGAATTTTCGCCAGCAAATCTAGCCTTTTCTAATTGATGGTGGTTCTTCAGACTTTTACTATTTATTAGAAGTTCATAAACCAGGCCAATGGGCAGGCCAGTAAAATGGGTACATATTCCTACTGGACTAGAGAACTGAATTCCTCCTCCCTTCCTTTCCTTTCTTCTGTACAGAAATTTTTCCTCCAGGAGAGCCCTGTCATATATGTCAAGGCATCGAAAGACCCCAGCAAAACAGTGGTTTGGGGGTAGGCCACCTTGTCATGGAGAAAGATCTGCCCCGGGATTGTCAATGGAGCCTTGGAGCTGGAGAAGAATGGACACACTCCTGAGCGGATGACCAGGGCTCAGCCACCTCTGGGTGCCCTCAGGCCAGAGGACAAAGGGGACACCCAGGCCCCAGAGTTGCACAAGATAAACCTGGTGGTGTCAAAGGTAGCCTAATCTGGGCCATGCAGGCGGGCTGGCTGTCAGATTTTGGGGGCCTGAGGCTGGGAGATTTACCTGGCACCCTACCATTTCCTTGGCTAAAGACTGCCCTCTCCAAGATCTCTCTGTAAAATAGAAAATTTCCATGGAGAGAAAGAGAGAGAGAGAGAGAGAGAGAGAGAGAGAGAGAAAATTTCCATGGAGGGCAAATAGGAAGTCTTTCAAACTTAAGTGTAAATCAGTTGATCATCTAAACTTGTTTTGTAATAGCATGACAAATGATGATGTTCCCTTTTAAACTTTTACATTTTGGCATGATATTTCAGAATACTGTGGGACCATGAGACAAAATTAAGTTGGACCACATTCTTTATATCTTACTTTTAAAGAAATAATGTTAATTTACATTTTCCTAGTTGAAGATAGTAATTAGGTTTCTAAGTTGTATACTGTGTTTATTGGTGGCAGTGACACCAAAGATAGAGGCAATGGATAGAAGTTTTTAAACTGGAAAGAATACATGAATTACACTACGTTTTCAAAGTCTCTTGTAATTATTTAGGCTATAACAAAATTTGATTCATCTGTCTTATTCCACTGCTAGTCTTTTAAATATATCTTTAACACAGCATATCCTTTAATTCTTCATTAAAATGGATGTAAGTGGATGTTTCAAAGTCATCTAAAAAAACAAAAACAAAAACAAACAAAGAAACAAAAAACAGAACAGCAAGCTGTGTGTGCACTGGTCTTTGGAGGGACCAAGGATAAGGGTAACGAAACTAAACTAACATTTATTAAGTTCCTAGTGTGTGCCAAGCACTGTGCTACGTGTTTCAATTTGGTTATTCTGTGAACTGACATTATTTGGCTTTTTCTCTGACTAATATTTGCAAGGGCTGGCTTCCCTGATCTGTCCAAATCTCTTATCTTCTCTATTATCTATTAATATCTGGTAAAATATTATAGATATTAATGTCTAATAATAATATAGATATAGAATGTAGACATTGCTCTATATCTAAGATAGATATATCTAAAACAGGTATAAATATCTAATAGTAATCAATATAGACATCTAAGAGTAGTAAATATTAATAGTAATATCAATTAATATTAATATCTAATGTCAATTAGATATCTATACTTTCCCCCTTGGTGATCACCTGCAGTCCCACGGCTCTAAGTTCCATCTCTATGGTATTATCTCTAGCCTTGAAGTCTCCTCTGAGCTCCAGACTCAACTGTCTATTTACCATCTCCTCTTCAATGCCTACCAAACATTTCAAACAAAACAAGACCGAAAAAGAACTCTTGGTTTTCACCCTCTCCGACCTATTCCCCATGTCTTCCCCATCTCAGGAGGTGGCATCACCATCTTTCCAGTGGTCGAGGTCCTGGAAGTCAAACTTGATTCCTGTCTTTCCCTCCCACGAATCCAGTCTGTCAGCAAGGCCTGGCAGCTTTGCTTTAGCATCTCTCCCGGACCAGCCTCCTCTCACCACAGCCCCCTCCACTGCCCTAGCCCCAGCCACCAGCATGCCATGCCCAGCTCCTCTAAGAGCTCCCTTCCCAGCCTCTCTGCTTCCACTTTTGCCCTCTTACAGTCCATTACACACAGTGGACAGAGGGAGCTTTCTAAAACAGACCAATTCAAGTAACTCTCCTGTGGTGGCCCGAGAGCGGGTTGGAAAAGAATTTCCAGGCACAAGGCAGGATGTAAGGAAGATAGAGTTTATTAAAGAGAAGGGTCGCTGCAAGAACAGCGGGCTGACTACCCGGTAGCCAGGGAAAGTCGACAATGAGCATGGGTTGCTTGTCGCTTTCTATAGCCAGGGAACCTGCAAGTCATCAGCTGACTGGGCAGAGTATGTATACTTTCAGTGTGCTGAGCGGGAGAAAAACGGGGCAAATGTCTTTCCTTATATGGGATGGGAAAGGGACAGGGCACGCTGCTTGGGAGGGCTCTGGGACATTGCAATGGTCACATTGTGACACAGTGATAGGAGTCCCGTTACTCTTTGTTCTGGCAATATTGGCCCTTTGAGTTTATCTGTTCTTTGTCCTTGGAGCACACCACATCTCCTGCTTAAACCAATTCAAGTCACTCTCCTGCTTGAGCCCTTCAGTGACTTTCCACTGCACTTTGGATAGAGTCCAGGTTTCCCTGAGCACCTGCCCACATCTCCAAGCTAGTCTCCCATTTGTTCCCTCCAACCGGCCCTCTCACCATTCTTTGGCAGCCTACCTTGTTCCTGTCTCAGGACCTTTGTTCCTGCTGTTCCCATGGTGTGAAACCTCCAGATCTTCCTATATCTCTCTCCTTCTTGTCATTCAGGTCTCAGCTGCAATGACACGTGCTTTTAAGAAGCCTTCCCTGGCCAGCTCATCTAACATTGCTTTAACCTCCAACTGTCTGTCATGGTAGCCAATTTCATTTTACTTATATCACTTACCACCATCTGAAATTATTTATTTGTTTTCTTATTTATTTCATGGGTTGTCTCTCCCCACTAGTTGTAAGTTTAATGAGAGTTCTTTTCTTCATTACTTGGTACATGAAGAAATGCACATGACTATTTGATGGATGAATGAATGAATAAATGAATGAATGTATGCTCAATTTGGTGAGGTTGGCTTCGTTATCCCTATTTTACAGATGAAGAAACCGAGGCACAAAAAGTCTAAGTGACTTGCCCAGGAACATAGACTAGAACAGATGCAGATCTGGAATTTGGGTTTCTTGCCTGACAGGACCATCTATCCATGATTCCTCTCCGCCACTGCCATGCAATTTCCTTCCTCTGAGGTTGCTCCATCCCACCTGCACAGACCAGCCTCTGAGCTCCTCTTGAGCTTTGTTTGTCTGAGGAGCCTTGGGGGTGCATGTGGGTATTTGTTTTCTGTTTGTCATTTTGTGTTCAGACAATGGACCCACCCTGGGTGAGTCACCTGTCCCAATGCCGGCCTGTCCTCCTTGGCTTTGCAGGGGACCACGCTAGAGGTCTGTGGCAACACAGGGAGTGGCAAGAGCAGCCTGTTGTCAGCCATCCTGGGGGAGGTAAGTGTCTTGTGGCCCGTGCACGTCCACCCCCAGGAGGGCCAGGGCCTCCCAGGCTCCAGTTCCCCCAGTAAGTCGCACCACCACTTTCTTCCACGGAGGGGTCTAAGCCAATAGAGTTTTTATAAATTGAAAACAGTTGAGCATGCACTGAGGGGGAGGTGAGTTATGAACGGTGCTTCCCTTTTACCCTCCAACTGGGGGTACTGCCTCTTAGGACACCTAGAGATCCACCCTCATCTGTTCTCCATGCTTTCCCCACCCTGTGTTGTAATCAACCAGCTACCAAGGTGATGATACAGGGCATCTCAACATTTAATATGATAACAAAAATCATCTCACGAAGCCAGACTCGGAGAGGGACACGTGTCCCTTGGGAGACAGCATGGGGAGTGAACTGTGGAAGGAGGGAGAGAGAAGGAAGGGGAAGGAGGGAGCGAGGGGATGAGGAGAGGAGGCCTGCGGATGGTATAGGACCGTCTCAGTCCCCCTCCAGCAGCAGAATTCACACGCCTGCCGGGTGCCCTGCCATTGAGATCTGAACCGTCTAACTGCATTGCCTCTGGACATTCTGGAGGGCTGCTTCGTCTGCAGCTGTGCAGGCATGTGGCTCAGCACACCCCAGTTTCCAAAAAAACCAACCCCAAAACACTTGAGGTCACGTTGCACACCTCCTAGTGAACAGCACCGTAAAACGGCCACGACCCCTGGTATATGTGTATGGCTCCCTCCCCACCGGGGTCTCACCAGCACTTCCATATTCAGCCTCAGTCTCACCCCGTCCTGGGGCTTCTCTCCCTCTCCCTCCCTACTTTGCCCATCGTGGTTGGGAAAACTAGCTGGTGTCCTTCCTTTCCTGTGCTTCTCCCTCACTTCCTCCTTCTGGATGTCCATAGACAAACTCATCACCTCCTAGGAAAGTGGCCATGTTGTCAATAGCAGTTCTCTCCTAATACATCAGTCTGATGGTTCATTTGTTTGGCTCCACATGTGATGGCCTTTCCCCAACTTCTTTGCAGCTGGGGAGAAGAAAGACTCCACTTTTTTTTTCTTTTGCGGTACGCGGGCCTCTCACTGTTGTGGCCTCTCCCGTTGCGGAGCACAGGCTCCGGACGCGCAGGCTCAGCGGCCATGGCTCATGGGCCCCAGCCGCTCCGCGGCGTGTGGGATCTTCCTGGACCGGGGCACGAACCCGTGTCCCCTGCATCGGCAGGCGGACTCTCAACCACTGCGCCACCAGGGAAGCCCCACTTTTTTTTTAACAGTAAAAATAGTTTGAATAGTACTTGCATGCCAGGTCCTGTGCTCAGAGCTTCCCATTGTTTTCCTTTGACCTGAAAGCAACCCCATGAGGAAGTCATGGACATTAAGGTCAGTTTATATATGTGTAAATGAGGTTGAGAGAGGTGACTTGCCCAAGGTCGCCAGCAGGTGACAAGGGGAGCCGGGGCTGACACCCAGTCTAGCTGATGTCAGAGTTCTGCTTCTCATCATAGCTATGTTTCCTGGCAGCTTCCATTCAGGGCCACCTTTCCACATGGCCAGGGGCATTATCAGTTTCCTCTTCAAATGAACCAATCGCTTTCCTTCCAATAAAGGAAAACAAAAAGATGTAATTTTAAAGTTTTGTTCTTATTAAATTAAAGCCTGTCTTCAAATCAGAAGTAGGGAGCACAGGATAATAAAGAGAAAGAAGTACACGATGATGAGGTCTTCTGCTGGGGTCCTGGGCATGAGGGTTATGGCCTTGATTTATTTTAATGTGTGCTTTTAAATTTATTATACAGAAAAGCAGGAAGAACACTGCAGTAAAGACCCGTACACCCACCACCGAGATTCAAGGGTTGATACAGCGTTTGCATATTTGCCACATCTATGTAGAAACATACTTTGTAGAAGTGTTTTAAATTAGAGATTATGACACTTTTCCCACTAAATACTTTGTCATGATGTCCAAAAAATAAGGGCATTTTCCCATCTAACCATGATGACATTATCACACCTAACAAACTAGTAATAATTCTGTGATATCCAAGGATAGACAGAGATGGCCTGGAACTTTCCATCTCATGGTGAACATCAGGGAGGCACTCCTTGCTAGGGATTGGGGCTGGGGAAATAAGAGAAAAAAAGTATGGGATGACTTCAATGCAAACCTTGGATTCAGCCACAGCAGGA